GTTCACGTACATCCTTTCCGATGTCTTCCATCCCGCCTTATTGTTGAATCAGACCCTGTAATCCTTTTATTTGTTTACGGGATCGCGTCCTTGTGTCAAGTCTGTGAAGCGTATTTCTGCTGAAGCCAAAAAGCAGTTTTTCATATTTCTGAGTCGAGAAACGTTTTTTTTGGCCGCGCGCCTAAATCCACGCTATCTCAAAAGATGCTCTGTTAGAACGCTGCTTGCGTGGAGGTTGTCCTGTGGATAAGATTTTGCTGCTGCCACAAAGTGAAGCAGTGGGCTGTGCTATTTTCCTCTTTCTGAGTAACACTGCCCAGGCCGGACAACTTTCCATTGAATTTTGGATGCGCCGTTTTGAAATGGCGGCTCCCAAAGTCTTGCTTCGTTTGACAACAGCGCAGGTTTTTTTTTTGGCATATTAAGCACAAAGGGTTCCATGCCATGAAGAAACAATATAAGAATTTGTTCTTATCCACTTTCTCTTGAAATTTCCTGTGGCTGCTCATCCTTGGTATGCCTCGTACCTTTCGTTTTTTTACTGGGAACAGCCTGAGTTTGCCTGCTTGTCCCCTCTCCGGTGTGCTCCAGTGTAGCCTGAAGGCTGGTTGAGGCTCAACCAGCTGACAAAGTCCTTGATGCCGCTAAATCCAAAATGGCCGCCTTCCTGTTGGGTTTGGGATATGGTGCCCACTGGATTTTTTTTTCTTCTGGATAAGATTTACAAGTGTGACGATTTTTATGCATATCGGTGAATGGGACCCCGAGTGGTACAGTTAATGGGCTCCTGAGGGGCCATTTTGCCATGCTTATAGTGGACCCCTAGAAAATATGTCAATTTTCGCCACGACTGATATGTGCGCCACGTTTCATGAGTTTTCGAGCACGTTGCAGCCTCCAAATATGCGATCGAAGTGGCCTAAAAATATAAATACATTTCGAAAAGATCAGGAGGAAAAAGTTCTGATATTTGTGCAGAAATGTAGGCGGTAAAAGTAAAAAGTTGCATTAAGATATAAAACTATGAATAAAAAGTATTTGTACTTTATTACTTCCCACCTCTGGATCAGAGTGATTAATGATGAAAATACAGTAGATATATTTAGAACGTGTATGTTAAAGAATTAAAATACACATTTTTCTTAGTCTGAGTGTTCAGTTTTAGGTCTTTTTTATTATAATATTTGTCAGTTTCAGGATTGAAGAAGTTCAAACTAGGTGTTCCAATACAAACACATTGATTTACAGTCAGTCTCAATAAATATATGCACCAATGGCTCCTCGTACATATTGACATTGACTTTTCCTGTTTATTTTTATATTATTTTTGTAGGTTTTGTAAGCACACAATATGGTTTCACCTAGTTTAATTGTTTATAGTTATATATTAACTATAATAACCTTAATTTGGAAGTGAAAATATGTGTATGTGCAATTTTATTTTTTTATTCTTATTTATTTATTTCCACTCATTAAAGCCTATATGAGGAAGCACCTGCAGCTGGGTGACACAATCTGTGCTTTCTCATCTCTTCTTTTACTCATGTAACATGCAGGATGTTCAGGACGAGGTCTTCAGACTCGACGAGGGACTGGACCTGGTGGTTTCCCATGACCCCATGACCATGCAGCGCGTCGCCACCCTGCTGCTGGCAGTGAACAGGATGAAAAAGCCCCTGATCCGCGGTAGGAAGCTCAGTGAAGACGAGCTCTGCTGTGTGATCATGGACAGCCTGCTAGATGGTGGGTAATAATAGTTTTACGCTATTTCACAAGTTCCTTTTTTGAGAGCGAAACCAGAACTTCTGGGTTCTGATCTAGAAGTGAAAAAGCTTATTCAGTTTCTGAAGTGTCTGTCTTCCGAAAGGAAATTACTATACTTTTTTTATACACTTTTCTCCATAATAACAATAAAGGGTCCTGCCAAAGCAAAAGCATTATAATAATGATAACATTAACCCTTTAAGATCACATCCATGGTTATATTGTTTCCCTATTTAACAATTAATGCCAATATATGTACAAAAAACTAAATTTCTTTGTGTTTTTATATCAGAATCCAATCATTGTGTCTTCCTGTGAAACTAAATGTGATGCGTGCTTACGTCAGCATGAACTAAGTGATTTCAACCAATAATATCCT